AAAGTGCTTTGTCATTGTGGACAGGACTAGTGAAGGCATTTCAAATGTTAATCTGACAAAACTGGAGAAAGCAGCTGGTACAGTTTTATTTACCTTATTCCTAATTATAGAGGGGAAAGGAGAATGATTGTCCATAATGTTAACACCAATAATATAAAACAATTGGACAGAGGATGGACAAAACCTTGATTCATGTACATGTTACACAGAGAAAAAGCGTACTTGCTATGTCGTTTAATAGTTCATACAAATAAATTTGATGTTGAGATATGTCTCAACAAAAATAGAATATGTACATCCATTTTTTTGGATTAGAGAGGGAGTGGTGAAAACAGTGTAGCAAAATAAATACATTAAGGATATATAAAGTAGATTGAAAGAGGTACAGGTGGATTACACTGGTGCACTGGTTGATTATCTCTATTAAAAAATTCATATTAGTTCAGAAAACAGTGTATAACCTAGGATGCTCTGATTTGTATAAAACAAAATAAAATCATTTAAAGATAATGAAACTGTAAGTCATGGAAATCGAATGCAACTTTTTTTACTAGCATCCACACATATAACAAGGTGTTTACACTTATAAAACAGAAAATATGGCATATAACACTTAGAAGCTATGTAGTAAGTAGCATAGCATTCACATGAAAAGTAAATGTTCTATATCTTTATGTGGTTGGTAGTTTTAATGAAGTAAAAAGATACAGCATATTTTAAATATTGTGCATTTAAGATTCGTATTTCATGTACCTAAAATTCATAGAGTAATCTTTCTGTTTAAAAGAATACATTAGCAAAAACTATTGGACTCTGACTTCAACACTTATAATCTTTGATAAGTAAATGGAAAGTTACAAGATGGGTAAAACAGTTAAGAATTTGTGTGTGTGTGATTAATATATAATACTTAGCTACCTTATTTGCTTTGTTTTCAAATTCTGAAATATTTCTAAATGATTATTTACTAAGATGCAGAGATAACTTTATTGTATTTCTAAAAAGCACAAATGGCCATGTTGCTAAAAAGCCTAGGAAAGTAAATAAAGTTTAAACACTGAAAAAAAAAAAAAGAACAACACCATGTTGGCGAGGATGTGGAGAAATTGGAATTCTGATACACTGGTTGTTGAAATGTAAAAATGTAAAATGGTGCAGCCATTTTGGAAAACAGATTGTAGTTTCTTAAAAAGTGAAATGGAGTTATCAGATGACCTTCCCCTATGTATACGTCCACAGGAACTGAAAACATATGTACACACAACTACTTGTGCATGAATGTTTATAGCAGTATTCTTCATAATAGCTGAAAGTGGAAATAATTCCGATATCTATCAACAACAAATGGATAAACAAAATGTGATTTCAATTCAATAGGAAATTATTAAGCCCCCCCAAAATAATAAAATAGTGATCACATCACAATGTGGGTGAACCTCAAAAACATTATGCTAAGAGAAAGAAACCAAGCACAAGAGGTCACACACAGTATGATTTCATCTATAAGAAGTGTCCAGAAAGAGAAAACCTATAAAGATAGGAAGGAGATCTGTGGATACCTGGGGCAGAAGGGAAGATTGGGGATTGACTACAAATGGCAAGAGGAAATTGTAAAGGTGTTCTACAACACGTGCCCGGCATGAGTTCTAAGCCACCGGGTCCGGGACGCGAACTGTGGTCGACTACGTGGGAGTCCAGTGACAGAGCCATTACGCCAACTGCTGGTTCCCAAGTAATGCATGTTTTTAAAAAACCATATTGTGTGCTATAGAGATGTACAATAATTAAATGTGAAGAAAATTATTTTAATGTACAAAAAATTCTATTTTTAACTATATTTCATAAACCCAGGGAAATTTTGTAGTGTGTAAATATTGGGTCATTGAAAAAATCATGACTTTTTTAAAGAATTATTTTTATTTAATTTTATTTATTTATTACTATTATTTTTAATTTTGACCAGAGATAGACAGAAAAAGAGAGAGAGAGAGAGAGAGAGAGAGAGAGAGAGAGAGAGAGAAAACAACCAAATCTGTGGTTGGCCACATGGGAGCCCAGCCCCCTTAACCACCACACTACCTACTGGCCCCATGACATATTTTTTCTATGTTTTTATTGTGCAAAAATGTATCATGACTTTTCCAACGACTCAATACATTGTATTATTAAATGAATTTACCTTAAAACTCATATCAGAAAACATTACTCTGTATTATGTCCAATACACAAGGTAGTTCAGTTCTTTTCTTTTTCAGAGAGAGATTTTTGCTATAGGGTACGTGCACTCACCAGATAGAGACAGACAGAAAGTGAGAAATCACCCCACAAGGGGATGACCATGCTGCAATTCCTTCTCCTCCATTCTCCTCTCAGGACCTTGGGCATACGCACACACATGCTCAGCGTGAGATTTAAGCTGCCAGGTCCAGAACTTGAACCCCAGTCGACTACCTGGGAGTCCAGTGACATATCCATTATGCCATTTGCTGGTCCTGGTGGTTCAGTTCTTTAAAATTAGTCAAAAGGTTAATATTGCAGCTTGACTTACAGTGTGGCTAATAAGACTCAGAGTATCTTCAAAGTTGGTCCAAACTTCTTCCAGGGGACAGAGCTTTGCACTTGACTCTTCATCTGGCACTGAGAGGTTAATCAAGTTGTGCATACATTTGCTAAAAATCAAAAAGAGAAAAATCACCCCATAAGGAAAAAAATCATTGGCTTCATGACTAAGATAAGTAAAATCTGGATCTCATCCCAGACTGAGAGAGTTTCAAAATACATCTGTTCTTCCCTTGGTTTTATCCGGCCTCCAACCTCAGAAGACAGGTTTTTGAAGCCGTTAAAAGGGATCGTCTAATCCTTCCTTTCATTCTTTTTTAGTTTCCAGCACAAAGAAGTTGTGGATGTTTATTATAATTTATGAACTTGTTTAATTTATAAGTAATTTAAAGCATCTTGTTACATTCTCAAATGGGTAAGGGAATTGGGATTTAAATTGGGAATAATGCCAGGAGAACTGTAACTGTCTCTCATGTCTCAGAATAGGAAGACTGTAAGGAAGTTTTCTAGAGAAAACTCACACATCTATTTCTCCCCATATCTGGACATAAAAAGTAAAAAGTCTCCAATAAATAATATTTTACACAGCACTTATTGGTGCTTAAAGAAAGTGGTTAGAAAAAAAATCTGAGGAAGGGCCAGCAGGTAGCATGGTGGTTAAGGTGCTCGACTCTCCACATGTTTGACTGCAGTTCAAGTCCTGGACCTGGTGGCTTGCTTTCTCACTTTCTCTCTCTCTGGTCAAATTAGAAAATAATAATAATAATAAATAAAATAAAATTATTATTTTTTAAAAATCTGAGGCAAATATACCAAAATACTAACATTTGTTAAATTTGAGTGGTGGCGGGGACCTGCAGGTGGCATGGTGGTTAAGGTGCTGGACACGCCCACATAACTGACCCTGGTTCGAGTCCTGGACTCGAACTCACTTTCCCTCTTTCTCTCTCTGTATCTTTCTCTGGTCAAAACTAAAAACTAAATGAATGAAGAAATAAAAATAACTAAATAATTAAAAAAAAATTGGGTGGTGGAAACATTGCACTTGTTATATTATTCTTTGTACTTGTCTGTAAACTTGGGATATTTAGCAATAAAATAAAATAAAATAAGAGGTAATTGGTAATTTTAACATACACATAGATTTATACAAAGATGCACCAGTCTTCCTCTTTTTCTCCTTTGGGAAAACCAGATCTTGACTTTGTTAAATAATTCTCATTCTGTGATACAGCTCTTAACATGGAGCTGTTTAGAAGAGTATTCCAGATAATCTTTTAAGTTGGGCCAGTTTAGTATAATTGATGCTATGGGGCATTGACTACAGTTTTTTGACTATCAAAAAGCTTTGATTAGGTGTTGGATTACATTTACTAACCTGTATTTCAAAACATCAGCTGAATCATTCTTTTTGTGGAGCAATAATGCCTTTTTCAAGGCCTTGAATGCAATGGAAGGATGGCATGCTGGCATTTCCATTGCTAATGCTAGAGGAACAGAAGAAAAAAGGTTGTGAACACCATAATTCATACATCATAGTTTTCATCCCAGCCTACAACTTGTTTTCTCTAATGAAACTGGCCTGAAATGGATTAACAAACACAACATGAAAAAAATCTTATACAATGACGAATCCACAGATGCTTTGGGAACAGTTTTACTTTCTGGGCAGAGTAGCAGGGTAGGATTCCTAGGTTACATCCTTTTTTTCAGCAAATATCAACAAAAAAGTCCTACTGCTTCTATGACTCTGCATATAGTTACATAAGTGAAACAATAATCTTATGAGTCGGAGTCAAGGAAGGGCACACTAAGAAGGAAACAGAAAGCAGATCAGTAAAAAGGGCACTAATCAAAATCAGACCTATACTACAACTATATAACGTCTTTGTCTAATACGAAATGTAGAAAACATTTGACATGAGAGTATAGAAAATAACAAGCCCTACAACTTTCAGACGCATTTAACAGGCCTCAAAAATTCGAATTCCAGGGAACCAGCAGTTAGCGTAATGGCTATGTCACTGGACTCTCACGTAGTCGACTGCGGTTCGCGTCCCGGACCTGGTGGCTTAAAACTCACGCTGGGCGCGTGTGCGTGCATGCCCAAGATCCCAAGAGGAGAATGGAGGAGAAGGGATTGTGGCGTGACCGTCCCCCCTGGGGGGTGATTTCTCGCTTTCTGTCTCTATGTCTCTCTCTGTCTGTCTGGTGAGCGCACACTCCCTATAGTGAAAACCTCTCAAAAAAAAAAAAAAGTTGAAAAAAGAGGGCATCACAGGCTGGGGCACAAACACATGTCCATGAAATATATACCATCTGCTCCATGGCTCTAAAAATTCTCTCTTGGCAAGACCAAGGAAAGGCAATGTGACTCTTGTGTATTTGGAGATACCTAATACCTTTATTTAATTTTTTAAAAATAAATATTTATTAACATTTATTTATTTATTTAATTTTACAGGAGAGAGGCATGGAGAGAGAGAGGGAAAATGAGAAAGCAAGCCATCAGGTCTGGAAGTTGATTCATGGTAAGCCATGTAGGAGTCCAGCGCCTCAACCACCATGCCACCTGCTGCCTCCCCCCAGTACCTTTATTAATCACACTCATGCTTCTGAGGAGATAAAAAGGGAAGATAAATAAACCATTTTTTTGCAGTATATTCCCCAAAAGACACTGGGCTCCCAAATTCCACTACAACTCAATCAAGAATTTGAGAACAGTAGTTTTGTTTAAAAATATTACCAATATTAGGGCCAGAAGGTGGTGTGGTAGTGAAGGTGGTGTTGGACTCCCACATGACTGACTGCAGTTCAAGTGCTAGACCTGGTGGCTTGCTTTCTCACTTTCCCTTTCTCTCTCTCTGTCCTTCTGTGATCAAACTTAAAAAAAAAAAAGACAATAAATAAAATTAAATAATTATTTTAAAATATTACCAATGTCTATCTGTACTTTCAATAACTTGTCCTAAGATTGCATCACTTTTGATCAGTGAAGCAGTCAATTATCATTTCTAGCTAGCTGAGAAAAGTTAACTTTCTTGAAGTTTGAGCTCCCCCTATTGTGTAGTCATATAATTAAATTCCACACATAGAATACATTTGAACATCTATTAGGAGTAATGCACTTTGCCTAGCTTTATAAATAAAACAAATATAAGTATTGTTCATACCCCAAGGAGCTTATAATATTATAGCGTGCATAAGATAAATGCATAATTAATTGTAATACCGAATAGTCTAAGAATGCCATTAGAGATGGGGAAACAAAGTGCTACGAGGAAAAATCATTTCACACCTAGGGACAAGAAAGAAGAGTAAGAAGAAGGAAAAAAGTAGTAGAATCTAAACAGCATCAGGCTTACAAAAGCATAAATATAATTCTTACATGCAATTGTTTCACATGTTTTACTTTTTAAGTGAGGCAGCTCCCACACTGATTCTAGAAAGCTGTCCAGTGATGGGTCATTCATTTTGACTTTAACTTCAAACTCGTACAGTAGAAGCAATGTCTCACATGGATCATTTGAGAAGTCCCCTGAGAAAGAGGCAAGAATGAAGCATTCTCTGTGATTATATTTCATTATTCTCTTCTGTTCTAATCTCACTAACTAGAGAGGTTTTCCTGTTAAGGATAATTAATTCTAGTTAGAATTTGAAGGCCAACCCTCTGTAGACAGATTTTTAACATTTTAAAGTCTATAATTTCACCATTACATTCAGCATCCTGTAATGTATTCACCAGCACTGCTTACATTTTCTAAAAGTATTCACATGTGGCCCCAAACTGGCCAGAAAAGCCCCTGCCAATATCATTAAGATTCTACAATAATTCAAATCCAATGTTTACTTGTTTCCTGTGAACTTTCAACTAGTCCCATGCTCATTTTAATGTCTGAGTTAACCAGAAGATAACAGTGCTGCATACACTAACAATTATTTTATTTTAAGCATAATTTCCAAATTGTTTCATTTAGTCAGTTGACAGTATTTCTCAATACAACCATGGGAAGAATTTTTTTTTTAAGTTTATGTGGGGCCAGCGGTTAGCTTGGTGGTTAAGGTGTTGGACTCCCTCCCATAAGGCAGACTGCAGTTTAAGTCCCGAACCTGGTGGCTTGAAAATCATGCAGTGTGTGTGTGTGTGTGTGTGTGTGTGTGTGTGTGTGTGTGTGTGTATGCCCAAAATCTTGAGAGGAAAATGGAGGATAAAGGATTGTGGTGTGGTCATCTTCTTGGGGAGTGATTTTTCACTTTCCTTCTCTCTGTTGAGCACACACGCCCTATGGCAAAATCTTTTTAAAAAGTTTATGCATTTTCTTCATGATAGTGTGTGCATATGAGAAAGAGAAAGAGAGGCAGAGAGAAAGATATGCATCTTCTACAGGGTCTCATCAAACAGTGATCCCTTTTTTCCAGCTCTCTAGCTCTTCAGGATCTTGGGCCACACACTGGCATGTTTTCCAGGCTAACCCAGGAATCTGAACCTATGGTTGACCATGTGGTTTCCAGCACTGCAGTTCAGTTTGCTACCAATGCATTACCAGGCTGGACCCCATGGGAAGAATCTTATGTCAGGCAGCATACATATTATGTGAAGTGGCTTACATTCATCCTGGCATACTGAATGTTTAATAAACTTTTAAAAAAATAATTATTTTATTTAGCTTTTTATTTATTTATTTACTTATTTTAATTTTACCAGAGAAGGACAGAGAGGGAGAGAGAGAAGGAAAGTGAGAAAGTAAGACGCCAGGTCCGGGACTCAAATTGTGGTGGGACTAAAATTGTGGTTGGCCATGTGGGAGTCCAACACCCTCACCCTCCATGCCACCAGCCAGACCCAAATGTTATGAGATATAGTATACACAAAACAAACTGAATGGAGTGCTCTACCCTTAAACAAACAGCACAGTCAATTTTTACATATGTTGAAATCTCTATAATCACTCCTTAGATCATGCTAAAGAACACATCCAATACTTCAGAAGTTTCCTTTGTGCTCCTTTCCAGTCAATACCATCTTACCAGAAATAACAACTATTTTTATCACTATCATTATTATTGTTTATTCTTGAACTTCATTCCTAGTATATAGAAATACTTTTGAGTATTGATTTTGTATTCTGTAACTTGTCAAACTCATTTATTAGTTCCAGTAACTTATTTGTGTGTGTGTGTGTGTGTGTGTGTGTAGATTCTGTGGTACAATCATGCCATCTGCAAATCAAGACAGTTTCACTTCTTTGTTTTTAGTTTACATGGTGGTTTCTTTTTTTTCTTCTTCCCATTCTTGTGCTTGACTTATTGCCCTGGCTGGATGCCTAGGATGTGGTGACAGTACATATTCTTGACTGTGGGGAAAATATTCCGTTTTTTATTAATAAGTATGACATAAGTCATAGGTTTTATTTTTGTAAATATCCTTTACCAGGCTGAGAAACATCCCTCCTATTCCTAGTTTGTTGAGACTTATTTAATTTATTTTTATTTTTTTAAATGAATGGGTATTAAATCTTGTCAAACTTTTTCTCTATCGCAAGATGATTTTTTTTACTAATTTTTAAAAATAATAATTTATTTGTTTAATTCAATGGGTTATTTATTTATTTATTTATTTATTTATTTATATTTTGAACAGAGAAAGACAGAGAGAGGAATATTTTGACCAGAGAAAGACAGAGAGAGAAAGGGAAAGCAAGAAAGTAAGCCACCAGGTCCAGGACTTGAACTGCAGTCAGCCACGTGGGAATCCAGCACCTTTGACCACCATGCCACCTGCTGACCCTTTTTATTAATTTTATTTTTTAAGTTACTTTATTTCTTCTGAGAGAGAGAGAGAGAGAGAGAGAGAGAGAGAGAGAGAGAGAGAGAACATTTTCAACAGGGTCTTAATGTCATTGCTCCACTCCTAGCTTTAGCCAGCTCCAGATCATGAGAATGTATGCATCTGGTATACTCAGGGAGATCTCCAGACACAAGCTCAGAACCTTCTCATATGACTTAGCCTTGCAGAGCATTGTGTTTTCTCTTTTCCTTTCCTTTTTTTTGTTGTTGTTAAAGGTTTTGTTTGTTTGTTTGTTTGTTTGTTTTTCCCATAGGATGTGTGTGCTCACCAGAGAGAGGTAGAGAGAGACAATGAGGGAAAATGAGAAATTGCTCCACAGAAGGGATGTCCACACTGCAGTCCCTTCTCCTCCACCATCCTCCTGGTATTTTGAGCATGCATGCACGCATGCCCAGCATGAGTTTCAAGCCTCCACGTCCAGGACTTGAATCGTGGTCAGCCATGTTGGAATCCAGTGCCTTAACTATCACACCACCTGCTGGTCTTGTGTTTCGTCTTTTTTAAAATAGAAGCATTTAATGCTATAAATTTTTGTCAAGATGCTGCTTTAACTGTATCCTTTAAATTTTAATGTTGTGTTTTCATTTACATTCAATTAAAAATATTCCCCCTTATCAGCCTCTTTGATCAATTAGATTATAGAGAAATAGTTGTTTAATTTCCAAAATTGGGAGTTCTTACAGATAGGTTTATATGATAAATTCATAATTTAATTCTATTACAGTCAGATAAAATACTTTGATATTTATACACTTTGATGATTTCATTATTTTTAAATTTTTTGAGATTTGTTTTATAGTTCATAATATGGTTTGTGGTGATGAATTTACTATGGTTTGTTTGAGAAAAAAATGTCTATTCTGTTGGTGTTGGGTGTTCTATAAATGACATCAATTAAGTTACTTAATAGTGTTATTCATTTCATATAAATCTTTATTATCTGTTGACTTATTCTATTGATTACTGAGAGAGAAATAATGAAAGTCTCCAACTGTGGTTATGGACTTGTCTATTCCTAATTAGTTTTATTGGTTTTAGCTTCACGTATTTTGAAGCTTTGTAAAACAATTCCATTTACAACACCATCAAAAGGAATAGACTTTAGTCTTACACACAAGATGATGTAATCTTGTGAATAAAATTTCTAGGGAGTCCAGTAAAATCCCATTAGAACTAATGAAAAAGTTCAGCAAGATCCATATACAAAAATCAATTCTATTTAAATATAGCAGCAACAAACAAGCTGGAAATAAAAATAAGACAACTCTACTGTCTTTTTTGATTTCTTAAAAAAATTTTTCTTTTCTTTTCTTTTTCCCCCATAGGGTGTATGCACTTACCAGAGAGAGATATATATATAGAGAGAAAGTGAGAAATCATTTCCCAGGGGAGATGGCCACACCACAATCCCTTCTCCATTCTCCTCTTGGGATTTTGGGCAAGTGTGCACATGCGCCCAGCATGATTTTCAAGCCATCAGGTCCAGGACTCAAGCCACATTTGGTATTTAGGACTCTAGCAATATAACCATCATATCACCTGCTGGCCCTTATTATTATTATTATTTTCATTTTTTTTTAGCCATAGGACATGTGTGCTCACTAGAGAGAGACAGAGAGACAGAAAGAGAGAGAAGAAGAGGAATCACCTCCCAAGGGAATGACCATGCCACAATCCCTTCTCCTCCACTCTCCTCTCAGGATTTTGGGAATGCATGCACACAAACCCAGCATGATTCTCAAGCTGACAGACCTGGGACTCGAACCACACAGTCAACCATATGGTATCCAGAGCCTTAACTGCCTTAACCTCCAATGCCACCTGCTGGCCCTCTTTTTTTTTTAATTTCTAAGAATAGAGGTTTATTTAGCTCATAATTTGGAGAGCTAAGGTCCAGGGGCCACACCTGGTCAGGTCTTCTTACTGCATGGATAATGCACAGAATGTATCACATGGTGGGACAGAGCAGAACAGAACAGAAGCATGTTCAATCTTCCTATTCGGGAAAGTTTTTTTCTTTTTTTTCTTTTTCTTTTTCTTTTTTTTTTGTCATAGGGCGTGTGCGCTCTCCAGGAAGACAGAGAGACAGAAAATGAGAAATCACCCCCCAGGGGGGATGGCCATGCAGCAATCCCTTTTCCTCCATTCTCTTCTCGGGATCTTGGGCACACATGCACACGCGTCCGGCATGAGTTTAAGCCACAGGGTCCAGGACTCGAACCGCGGTTGAGTACATGGGAGTCCAGTGACATAGCCATTATGCTAACTGCTGGTCCCTAAGATTTTTTTTTTCTTTCTTTCGATCACTGTGTATCATCATGGCATACCAAAGAATTTCTCCATACTTATAATCTTCAACATATCATATTACATTTTGTGTTTCTTATCTGTTTTACTTCTTTTTCTCCCCTTGATTCCCTCCCTCTAAGCCTTTGCCATTTCCCACACTACTCCCACAATCTCTTGTGTCCATAGTTACTCTCCACGCCTTTATAATGTCTAATATTTTAATTTCTGCCATATAGTGCAGACATTTGGTATTTATTAAGTGGAAACATACAATGCCTCTCTTTCACAGTCTGATTTGCTTTGCTTATCAGTAAATCCTCCATATTTGTCCACTTTATATCAGATGCTAGGGTCTCTTGTTTTTTTATGTTGAGTAGTATTCCATAGTGTATATGTACTAC